GCTATATTTTAAGGCAATGTAAGAAGGTCGCAGTCTTGCATATAAATATACATATACGTAAACACATATTAGATTATTAAATTAAAGGAATTTTATTATATATTAATATATGTATTTTAATAATTTTTGCAGATTCTATAATACGGCTTAAGCATAACCTACTTAGCGAGGAAATGACAAATAGTCTAGGAATTGTAACGAGTACTCGCAACTAACCCCAGATCCCGCTTCACTAACCGAAAGACTTCAAACAAATATAGATAACAATTACTGATAATTTTACGCAATTATGTATATATATGGCGTTAAAAGCTCCTCCAAAAGATCTCGCTATGGGGTTTGGAGAAATTTTCTCAACAAATTCGTAGAGTTCACTACTCACTACTAACGTAGTTGACACTTTTGTAAATATACTTATATTGTAACCTTCAAAAAAAAAATTCCTATAAACTTTTTTACTTTCTATTCTCACACTCACCCTACTCCATATACTTCTTGTTGATCAATTAAGCTATGTTGACTTCAGCCGATATTCAGGATGGTAAAATTGAGTATGATGCGAAAACTGGTGCTACTACTAAATACAAAAAAATCGACGGTGGCTATGAAATGATTACTACTATGCCTCAACCTAACGGAACTATAAAGACTCAGGTTAGAACGTTCTGGGATCCAAAGCCTGTAAGTGAAGAGGATATGAAACGAGAGCAGGCCAATAGAAAAGTAGTTCAACAGCGTATGAACAAGGAGATACGTATCGATGAGAGAACTACTATGCTGACTCGTGCAATTGAAGGTGGCTATGAAGAAGTCTATACCATTGTCAACGAGGATGGCACTGTCAGCACTAAAACTAAGACTTTCTTTGATTCGGTCCCTGCTGGTACTCCTTTTCCGGGTCAAGGTCAACATCAGCCCCAATCGCAACAACCTCAACAAGTGGGTAAAAAGACGATAGTCAAGCGCAACACTTCGGTTGATTCTACCGATTCTACAGAAACTTGCAAATTGGTTCAAAATGTCAATAAGAATCAACAAATTCAACATAATATTCAACAAGAAAATGTTCATCATAATGTTCAACAAAAGGTTCAGCAAAACGTTAAACAAAATGTTCAACAAACTAAAATACAACATCAATCCACTATCGAGGAGAGTCATCGTTTTACTGAAAATATCGAAATTACCGAGAATAGCCGTACCGTGCGTAAGAATTCTTTGCAAGAGCAAAGCACGAAATCGATCACCACTTCTAATATGAGCGATGGTAACAAGGATACCAAGAAGAAGGTTAAGAAGCAAAAATCGTCTGCTCCACCACCACCACCTGATTTCTTGCAAAACGATACCACCACTGTAAGCAGCAAACGTGTTCCTGGTGGTACCGAATATACTTATACTACTCAATTGGAATCTGGTAAGAAAATAACTACTTCGAAAACTGTCTACGAAGAAGAAGAAACTGAACTAACAGAGGAGGAAATTAAACAATATAAGAAAGCATTAAAAGATGCTGAAAAGCATAAAAATGTTACAACCACCAAGAAATTGAAATCTGATTCCGGTACAAAGAAAGTAGTGCCTTCGGAAAATCCCGGTGATGTCACTACTGTAGAAACTATTAGGATCGATGGTGGTACTGAGTATCATTACACTACTGTCACAGCTGAGGGTATTGTTAAGAAGGCAGTGAAAACAGTTTATGATCCGGTTGCCTGTAATGACCCTAATGATACCGAAGAAGAGGAAATCGTTGAGGAATATGAAGAAGAGATTATTGAACCAGGCGAGAAAAGTATTCAAACTATTGAAACCATCAAGAAATTGCCACAAAAGTTTGAAGGTGAGTATGCGTTATTGTAAAACACTTAAATTATTATCGAAATCATTGGGCGAAAATGCAAATACAGAAAACAGTGGGCAGCGTACAATATGTTTGTCAAGTTCCATTTTAAAAAAATTACTGTGAAAGCTGTTTAATGTTTAATTTAACCTACTCTGTTTGAATACAGGATTCGAAGCTTTCCTCTCAATTGTCTAAATTTGCGCTGATTGGTCGCAAAGTGTGGGTGACAGCTCCCAGATCTTCCTTCGAGGTTTTCGATTATATTGAATGTACAACGATGGTTTTCTGGCTTGAGAAAGCGAACATTTTAAGAAAAATTTAAACAAATCCTCCTATATAGCTTTAAAATTGGGTAAAGCAAACTTAGTACTTCGAAGGAACCGATTTCATATTTTACGCTTTGCAACCATGCAATCACAATCAGTTGTCGGCCCAAGATATTAAAATATGATAATCCGTTTATTAATTATTGGTCTTTCTTTCTGGCTCACTTTGATCCGTAATCTTTGGGACATTGATAAAGTCGCAAAACTTAAAATATTAAGCTGAAATTTTACACAAGTGTTGCTTGATTGTTTGCTTAAGAACTTGAGGTTAAAAAATGACTGTGACTGTGACTTCTCCGCATATACGGTAGATTCGAAATTGAAACCATCTTGGAAACTCCTCGACATATTTTTCATATCTAACTGTTCGTCAAAACCACCCGAACATTCAGTCTAGATAGTCTTGATCGCTTTATTGATAAGTCCAGAATTAATGATGAAATTTCATTTCTGCTTTATTTGCAATTCGATGGAGAAAACGCTAATGTCTGTTAGAATAGAAATAAGCGGGAATTAAAATTTCACCGTCAATTGTGACCAGTCATGACCATTTTTGCATTGAACATGAAGTTGATCCTGATGAACCTCTAGTCAAGACTTTTCGAAAATATCTTTACGCAGGTATGTAAAAAGTAATAATGGATATTTAGAGGTCTCTTCACATAAATAAGATGTGTCAAAAAAATTATTACTTTACGTGCTTTATAGCTACTTTTTTATGGTCAAAACTTCAAAAACGTCACAAGCCTTCTTGCAATGATCTGTTTTTAAAAATTTGCATTTTTACCTGGTTCGTTTGCGCCTGAACGAAAAACTGCAATTTTCATTTCAAAAAAGGGAAATATTTTGTTAACAAAAAGTGTTTAGATACACTTATCGAAAATTTCCCAAGGGAATGTTATATTAAAGATAATTTTCTCACTTCATTTTTTTGCAATAAATTCACAAGTAACTTTCTCTACAGGAAGTTTCGATAAGCTTGTCTAAACATTTTTTATATGTGTAAAAAACTTTCGATGAAACAAGGAAGATAATATTAAAAATTTTCGCGTACGCTCTTTTGGAAAAGTTAAAATGTCGGTATGCTTTGTAGAAATGTTTTTTAGCTACAATAAATTTTTTATTATCATGTTTATGTTCGTTAGTCTACAATGCCCTGTTATTCTCTTTCCTCGACGATCTAGTGTTTTATGAAAGTTCCATTTTTGACGCAACTGTCAATGATAGAATCGTACTTTATCTCGTGAACTGACAGAGAAACTCCCAACTTACCATTTTTTGGCACAACCAGTAAAAGCTTTCATGTCGTTGTCAGGCTAATATCTGCTCAAGGGTCGCCTTGATGAAGCTCCTCTAACATATTTTTATTTGAATTATTAGAAAATAATGACCAAGGCTATTAAATATCATACACCATGCGTTTATTTATATAAGCATTTTTCAAAATAAGCCATTGTAAGAGAAATGCTCGAAAAAGCGATCCGATCCGAATCATTTCAATAGCGCTTCGCCTTGGGCTAAAATACGTTAGTGTAACAAATTTTATAAATTCATCCTAAAAAATTGCGGCCTATTGGTTGAATGCTTGTCTAGACGTGTAAATAAGTTTAAATCGATTCAGAGGATATATTGGGGAAGTTAGAAATCAACACCTAAGATAAATATTAAACTGTTACTTCCTAGTAGAGAAGTTTGAATTTCAAAGAAAGAAGTTAATGAATTTTTTTTAGATAGTATCCGTTCTACAAGTAACGATAAACAAAATTCTAAAAAAGATACATTGGCTGCCTTCCTTAAGAAGTTATCGCTTTGCAATATGCTTGCTGTGAAAAAAACCAAGGAAATTTTAAGCCAGCACCAATTGAGCTTAAAGGGAAAATCATAATTCAGAACTTACAAGGGAGAAGTGTAATAAAGACTTCAGCAATTTATTTCAAATAGTCCTGCCGGTTTCGTTTACGAAGGATTATTGTGAATCCTGTTTAAAGTGTAATAGTGGCTCTTTATGTAGTTGATTCTACGATAATAGTAATTCAAGTAACTTATTTGGGAAGAAGGCATTATATATTATGGGATGGGAAGGCTCACTTTTTAGAGTTCTCGAATTTTCTTATTACGTCTACATATAGTAATTACCACCCATTCCAACTACAAGTTTTAAATAGAGTGGTTGTTAAGCGACCCATTCAGAGCAAAACACCTTATTCCTAATAAGTGGATGAGAAGGCCCACTTTTTAGAGTTCTTCAAATAGCTCATGATACGCACTTAAGATATTTACTGCTTATGGCAATAACAGGTTTTAAGGATCGTGTTTGTTAGGTAACCCATTTCGGGCAAAATATGATGTCTACTTATTGTTTTTATTATCCACGCCAACTATAAATTTTAAAGCGAATGATTGTTAAGTAACTAATTTCCAAAATTCCCGAAAAGGCTTGTGATAGCTTACTATCTAAGCCATCTTTTAAAGAGAGCGATTGTTAAGTATTTCATTACAGGGAAAAGGCGTTACCCCGGTATGGCATGGGAAGTTTCACCTTTTCGAAATCTTGAAGCAGCTTATGATATCTACTTAGAATATTTACAGCTTATAAGGTACAGCCAACTATAAATTTTAAAAAGGGTCATTCAGAGTAAAAGGTGTTATTTCTTGTAAAAATTGAGAAGGCCTAATTTTTCGATTTCTCCAACTTTTCTATGATATCTACTTAAGGCATTTACTACCTACTTGAGCTATCGGTTTTAATGAGATTAATTGTTAAGTAACTGACTTTGGATAAAAGGCGTCTGATTCACAAATGGGAGCGAACAAGGAATGTTGATCTGTATACTGTAGCATTTCGTATTGAGAAGTTATTGCTAATGAACCTAATACGTTTAGTAATGAGACAGTCTGAACTGTACGCCTTGTGAGCTAATTGATGGTCAATCAATTATCCAAACAATAGCAATAACTTCAATGATTTCATCTCAAATCAAAATGTTATTTCATTTGCATAAGCTTTTTAACTTATTTTTCCTTTTGTTGTTTATTTATAGAGGAAGTAACCATTACTCACGAGAAAAAGGAAAAGAAAATAAAAAAATCCATGATGGTTAGCCAATAAATCAATTAAGCAACGACTCATCATAAATGTGTATGCAGCAGCATGGTTCCTCGATATCTCTTTTTTTTTTTTTGATTCTTTGCTTTGACGCTATTTTAAAATATTTAAATTTTTTAAATAATTTTTAAAATTTACTTGTAATTTTTTTCCAGTGCATTATTATTAATAACTACTATTTTGTATTAACTTTATGAATTTTACATACTCTTTCACTTGAAGTAAATAAAAAGTTTTTTTTTTCACTGAAACATTTTCACAATGAAGCTGAAACGGAAATTGAAAAAAGTTAAGCGAAATGTAAGCTTGTTATGTTTGAAAGTCCTAGGACGGATTTTTCTTATTTAGCGCATTTCTTCTTGTTACGTTTGAAAGTTCTAGGACAGATTGTTCAAATTGTAACGAGAACGGACCTTAATTTTGAAACTATGGTTATTTCGCATTCTTTTTGTTCATGTTCATTCTGCACAATTTCAAAGCGTTGTCATTTATTGAAAATAACTCTGTTCTCTCTCTATTCTCAACACATCGTACTTTTTTTATAAAACATGTAAAGGGAAAAACCAGCTAACGGTTTTTAGCGAGAAATGGAAGCCATTTTACAAGTGCACAGAGAAGTTCGACAAAGTAAAAAAGTTGCTAAATATGAGACGAAATATTAGTTCGGGGAAAAAGAAATCCATTATTTTTTCGGTAGATGGCTGCACTGATAGATTTCTCGTAAAGTATCGATCAAACAATTTCAGATTTATGCTCGTTGGAAAGGTGACATTTCGCAGTAAAAAAAATCCTTTGGTGTTTTTCGTTTGGTGCATTCAGTTGTGAGTTACAGTGTGTTAAAAATGGAAGTGAACAAAGAGAAAATTCGGTACATTTTACAGTTTTTCTTTGACAAAGGCGAAAATGCAAGCCAGGCGGCTAAAATTGTGAATGGTGTTTATGGTTCCGATACTGTAACAGCCAATTATGTGCAATTTTGGTTTCGTAGATTCCGTTCAGAAATTTTTGATGTTAAAGATGCACCTCGCACAGGTAGGCCGGTCGTCGAAAATGTCGATAAAATCGGAGAAATGATCGACGTTGACCGGCATGTTAGCAGTCGTAACATCGCCCAGGAGCTAAAAATCGACCATAGAACAGTTTTAAACCATTTACACAAAGCTGGATTCAAAAAGAAGCTCGATGTTTGGGTGCCACACCAATTAACAGAAAAAAACATGATGGATCGAATTTCCATCTGCGAAGCCTTGGCCAAACGGAATGAGATAGACCCATTTCTTAAACGGATGGTGACTGGAGATGAGAAATGGATCACATACGATAACCCTGTGCGAAAACGATCGTGGTCAAAGAGCGGTGAAGCACCTCAAACGGCCAGGAAGGTTTTGCTATGCATTTGGTGGGACTGGGACTGGTGGGACTTCATTATGAGTTGCTTCCATATGGCCAAACGCTAAATTCTGATCTCTACTGTCAACAACTGGACCGTCTGAAGATAGCGATTGACCAGAAACGGCCAGAATTGGCCAACAGGAGAGGTGTCGTGTTCCACTAGGACAACGCTAGGCCACACACATCTACAGTGACTCGCCAGAAACTTCGGGAGCTTGGTTGGGAAGTTTTAATGCATCCGCCATACAGTCCGGGCTTGGCACCAAGCGATTATCATCTTTTTCTTGCATTGCAAAATTTCTTTAATGATAAAAAATTGGAATCTAGGGAGGATTGTGAAAATCGACTACTAGAGTTTTTTGCAAATAGAGACCAGGACTTCTATGAGAGAGGCATTTTGAAGTTACCTTTTAAATGGCAACAACTCATACAACAAAACGGTGCATATTTGACCTAAATCGGACAATCCGAAGCATGTTAAATAAAGTCCTGAAGTTCATATAAAAATAATGGATTTCTTTTTCCCCAAACTAATATATTATAAAAAAATTAGAAAAAAAAGGAAAATACCAAAGAAAATTTTATATTGCATTAAAAATTGCTATTGTGTTAAATAAATTTGAGATAAATAAAGAAATTTTAAAGAAGTATATCAAAAAAAAGGTCAAAAGTTATCCAAAAAATAAAATTTCGTTTTGTATCAAATTCTAATTTAAAGACTTCTTTCTTTGATCCAGCAGGAGGGGTGAAGCATTGATTATGCGAAGAATCTTCATGAGGAGTCATTGTGGAATAACGGTGATTGGATCAACACTTAGGGGTCGTTTGTAACTGCTTCCCGTTCTTTGCACATTTGCTTGATCATATCCCCCTCTTCCTCCTGCAAATCTGCCACTATCGCGACCCCCTGAGAACTCATCATGAGGCTGACAGTCATGACAACTGAAACGTGATAAACGTAATCCGTAATTCTCTTCTTGCATTGAATCTACGTGGAATTGTTCCTGTGAAGAATTGTCTACACTATGGCGATAATAATAAACGGCTAAGCCTATAACTAGACTCGAAAAGACGATGGCACCTCCTATAGGTCCGAAAGCTGAGTACGAATTGTATTTCTGATTGGGGCTATAACCGTGACCAGCCATTAAATCGACATCATCTGAATCACCACAGGCCGACCTGCCAACACCATTAAAGCAAGCTTTTAAAAGCATTATCTTAATAAAATGATTGTTAGCATGTTCCTTGATGCCATTATTTAAAACATTTTTCATGGATGTAAATATATGTTAATATATATTATCTGCACACGCAGGCACACTTTAAGGAAAATTTTAATTCAATTTTGATTTCTTTTGATTTTCTGGTTTTTTAAACATTAAAAACCTTAATAAAAATTTTAATGAAATTAGTAATAATGCTAAGATAAGAATCACAAATGCAACAACATCTAGTAGGTAGAACTCATACCACTTAAGATCTAGACCGGCTGAACGTAAATGAGGAGCGCCTCGATAACGTACAACATATTCGATCCAATAGATGGCCATATCACGGGCATTTAAAGGTCGATCTTTAAAAATCTGCGATATATTTTTTATATTATTACGATATGCAGGATTGTAGAGTAATTCCTCTAAAGAATTTTTCAGAATCTCTTCCGTTATACTTTGAAAATGTATATTGATGGCATAACCACTTAATATCGCTTTCTTCATATTCAAATGCTATCAAAAGTAGAAACGAATATCATTAAAAAGAAATGATCAAATAAATGTGTTTCTTTTACCTGATCGCAATATATTGGCATTCCTAGCATGGGGACGGCATGATAAACTCCTTCTTGTATGCCTAACAAGCCGCCATGAGTTATAAAAACTTTAATATTTTCATGAGCCAGTATATCGGACTGAGGTAGCCACGATTTAATCATTATATTATCCGGCTTATTAGGAATGCTTTCCTTTTCGAATTTCCACAAGATGCGTTGTTTCATTTTACCAAATACTTGTAGGAATATTTTCATTTTTTCAGCGGGCATATCTTTCGATTGAACATTGCTGCCTAAACGGAGGATATGAGTAACCAGTACGATAGTTATATGTTTGGCTTAAAAGTAATTTTGGATACTTATACTAAAGTGTTTTACCTATTAACTTGGCCAAGAGACAATAGCTTGTCAATTTTTCCATAAATTTCTACTTGGATCTGCGAAACAATTGTCCAAAATTTTATATCTCTGCCTGCTGTTATACTCTCAACTTTTGTAGGCGTATATGTAGGTCTATCATGCCTTTTTAAAAAGTCATCTAGTCTTTAGCTAAGCTATTAACTAAAAATACACTACATCACTTAGTAAGTCTCCGATCTAACATGCCAATTTTTTTAATTATAATGCAACATAACATTCGCTATTGATCCTTTGCTCCTTTTCAAGATTGTCGATGAATATTATACAGTGCGTATCCCAAAATGCGGACACCAAAAATTTCCTAAACGACTTTTGCCTTTTTGGTCGCTGTAGACTGTTTTTGCCGGGTACTGCCGACTCGACTGATTGACTTTGGTATGTAGTGATGAATCCATGTTTCTTCCATTGTTCTATATCGCATTAAAAAATTCTATTTCCTTCGCCTAAACAGCGCCAAGCGGAGCTCTGGATTATCAACGTTGTTGGCAGAAGTGAGCAAACGTTACACCTCTTGCGAGCAGAGGTTTTTCATGGACAATGATTTATACCTTCTGATATCTGAAAAGTACCAATGACCTCATAAAACTTCAGTTTTCAGTTTTCCAAAAGGTTTTTGTGTACTTTTTTTATTTTTCCCTGATTTGGGAAACTAGGGGGCTCAACATCATCGGTTCCACTCCAATCAAAAGTAAAGTTTTGCTTTAGAAACTGTCGGAATGTCATGAAATATTGACGCGTATCATTTGAAGGTTGATATCATCTAGAAGTCATATGGGTTAGTGAACGGTGTTACCAAACATGTGTCAGTGTGAAGACTTATTGATGTAAAGGTATATCTTCTACAATTTCACATCTGGGTATGATATTCTAAGAATTTTGGGTAAAAATTATCCCAAAATAAACCCATGTGTCATAAAATAATTTTAAAGTTGACATGGCTTGGCAGAGGCAGAGTTTAATATTCGTTTTACCCGGCAACTCGGCCCTAAATGTGCGAGGGACTCGAGCTCTTTGACGTTTTTATTTTAGGGTTCCATTAAAGATCTCTTCGGATTTAAAGGATTTTAACATTACCTGATTTTAGATCGAGATTGAAAAATTTTTCCCATTCTGTAGGCTTAAAAAAGTCTTGGTCGAACTTTGGGAACTATACTCTAATACTTAGGATACCCACGATAAGTGTTATCGCATTACATGAATTACCATTTCTAGTCATTCACGTGCCACATAGTCTCTTCGGTTTGTCTAAACTTACACTCCGTTCTTGCCCTGCCCTAAAAAAAGTTTCTAGTTGTCTAATGGGTGCGGCATAATCTAGACTACATTCGGCGTCATTGCGATCTTTCTTACTCTTGCAATCGCCTCCCTTGTCAACTTCATATTTCTATTTCTTCCCTTTTTTTGGACGTCTTTCTATTTTGAACATTCTCTTTACACTTTTTCTTCATTATTTCTTCTTTCTTTTCTCCTTACAATAACTTACCTAAACTAAAATAGATCACTCCATCGTTGGCCTCGTCTAAAAATTTTTGTATATCTTCCGGTAAGGCGCGCGGTGGATAAATATGCATACCCCCGACTGGTATCATGCCCGCAATTGTGGGTCTTGTCGTTGTTAACGGGGCGTAACTATTTAGTAACATGACAGATATGTTTTTCTCCATGTCCGAGATTTTCGGAATTGGAACTAAAGTGGAAAGGAAAGAACAAGAAATTAACGTTACGTTTTTATACAAATTTATAAAATTTACAATAAGAAAAACAAGTACATATTTAGAAATAGACTATAGGCCTATGTTTTATAATCAATGTCTACAAAGTGCTTGACCAATATCTAATGTAGCTTTTCTCCTCAAAAGTTGCAGTAAAAGATGCTAGTTTATGTGTTAACGCAGAGGATTACCAAGAACATTTTTTTAATTTGATAATAACTGGATTGAAGGAACGAAACAGCGTCGCTTAATCGCTTTTCTGAAACGAATTTCAACTAACGAAATTTTAATTTGCGCTGATGCGTGTACATTTTTCGGTACATGCTAATTAGCATTTGTTCTCCAAGTTGAAATTTTTAGATAAGGACATTGGGATCCGAAACCTAATTGGTGTTATCGCTGTTTTATACTATATAATGATGACAACATTCTTGGAGAGGCATACGGATAACGGTACATGCGGCATAGAGAGATATTTGTTTTCGCCTATGAATACGAAAAAAGTAATGGAAATAAATATTAGTTCGATTGGTTATATTTGTGACCAAAAATGCTTGAGCAGATTTATCAAACTATTGTCCATCGCTGGCTACTACTTGTCTCTCCTCTCAAGCAATCTTCAAATTTCTTCTGGAAAGGTTTCTTGCCTTATGAGGCTAGCCCAGAAAGGACGGATATTTGAGTATCGTTGCAAAAATAGAGGGATTGTTTGAACGAACAACAAGTCATGGATTGAAACCAGTTTTATTAGAAACAGGGGGTGGCTATGACGTTCCAGATTAGAATGATAAATATACTCTTGAGATTTGCTCTTATGACCTGCGTTCCAATCGAATCAACGGGTGTTGGCAGTTTTCACTACTGATACAAGTCTTTCTTTAGTTTGTACAAGCCATAATTTGCCGTCGATGATAACGATTGCCCTGGTCTACGTCTTGATTATTTGGGCTTTGGATGCCGTAACGCACCCACTGCCCATCACTCGTAAGGATTCAGCAGCACCAAGCTGCAAATTAAGCAGAAAAATATAATATCCCACAAATCGTGTTTTTCTGCACAGAACTATACCTACTCACAGATCCAAGAAACTAGTATGAGTGAGCTGTAGTGTGATAAATTATGCAGTTGCGTGTAGCTTGGACGGTTTTTTCAAATAAATAGATGCCAATTTTATTCTGTACGGCCTTCTTACGCTTTCTCATTCATTCATTTGTACTCTGAATATTTCTTCAAAACTGAATTTGTTGGCATGCCCATGACAGTAAATGGCACCTACTCATAAGTACCCGGAGAGAGAAAGTGTGAAATACTATGCTAAGAATCTAAAATATTGTTACCGAGAGCCAAAGAAGAGAGTAATAATTATAAAAATATATGGAATCATTAAGTGTACGTGGAATTAAGAAAATACAACTCGTAACATCGAGTCAATAAGACGATGAAACTATTATGTATGTATGTGTTTTGCTAGAGTTAGTCGATGTGAACCAATTTTTAAGCTCAGAAGACAAACATTAAGTATTTCTTTCGCCATTAAAAATACAAATGGAGAAAATTGAAGAAAACGGCTATTCAGTTGTTGAAATGAAAGTCAATACAGTGACCGCTACACATAGCATTTTATGCCAGAATAAAAATAAAAATATTCTGTTGGTAAAGAAGGGGAAAAGGCAGAAATAAAACAGATTCAGTCAAGCGTTGAATGGAACGTTCAAGAATTAACGCTATTGAAAATGATTCAGGTCAATTCACTTTTGCGACCGCTTCTTGGAAAACTGCAATTTTCAAAATTTTCCGACAGAATTCGCTAAATAACAGTATTTCGACATTCTAAATTGATATGAAAATTTTGGTTTTGTCGGGACAATTTTTAAACCTTCCTTTATATAATGGTTCTTACGAAAACCGAGTGTTTATAAGATAAAAATGCATAGTTTTCAATACTTCATTACGAAAGTTATTCCACAATAGGAAATTGACAAAGAGTCAAACTTACCAAATTTGTACCTATTTTTTGGATACTACCGCATATATGGATTCTCAGAAACTGTAGACCCTCATACGCATAGAAAGCCTAATTGTTAATGTGATGATGAAAATTTGTTCATGATAGTAATTTGATGTACGAATTAAGTGGACCAAATGTGAACGTGGAACACACTCCTTATAAGATTTCTCATGATTGCTAAGCGCTTAAGAAAGGGAATTAATTTTTAATAAATAATCATGATGAAATACCGTCAATTGAGCAAGAAAATTTACGGTGTGGACCACAAACATTGATTTTTTACACCAACGTGTGTAGAGGTTATCATAAGGACCCAGCCCTTATATGGAGAGAAAGTACAAAGTACGGCGCCACTTTTCGTTTACAATAATTACTAAAAAATGTTGATAAGCACCCTTAAAAATGCGCATACATGGGTAAAAGGTTTGTTCTAATACGCTTAGCCTTGCGTAAAGAAATTCGCGCGAAAGATCTGCAGTTTCGTGCATATAGCGTAACATTATCATTTAATTAATATTTTGCAAAACTTTCAAAATTGGCTTGATAAAAGCGGTTTTAATTGGCCCATGAATTTATAAGATAACAGGTACGAGAGCTAGATGTGTCTTAAATTGAACTTTAAGCATTCGCTAGAAGGGAAATTCCTTTTTGAGTTTTGATGAGGGTTGCATTCACATCAAAGCTTCATATGACCTAAGTATTTCTGCTCTATTTAGTCCGCTATCCTATAAAGGCTTGCAAGCGCAAATTAAAAACAAATAAAATCGGTTTCAGTTTCCTCCTTCACTCTTTGCAAGTTTGAGAAAAGGCGGGTGCTGAACCGCTGGAAAACATAAAATGGTAGTCAAAAATATAATTCAAATATATGTATGTATGTATATTATCATTAGGCTTCTGTGGTGAATGCAATAAAGGGTAGCTGTCATGCTCATTATAACATAGCGGGACCACATATAATTGGCGTTTTTAGCCCCCAATTTCGAGTCAGTGCTTCTTCTATTTGTATATTTAAATGGCGAAGCATCCTCGGTCAGCAAAGTCGTAGAAAGAGAAAAAAGATCAAGAGCTGACACGTGCAGTTTTTGGTTTAGTTTTGCAGAGTAACTTTAAGACAAACAAATAGGCAAATTATATTTGACCGCATCTTTTATAGTTACTGTATTTGTTCTAACAAATATTAAATAAAAAAAATTAAACCGCCATTCCCACAAACTGGGTGCGAGTGGCCAATTTTTCCTCTTTCTGCGTGAGTATTACAGGATCTTTCACAAAAAATGCCTGGAAATTTTCATGGTTTTATCTGTTGTGGCTTATGAGTAATGAGCGAAAAATCATTTTATGGTTTTGAAAACGGATTTGCTTTCAGTTTACGAGGCATGTTTGGAGGCATGTTCTTTGTATGACGCGGCCCATTTTCAGAATTAATTTGCATGCAGGAGACGCATGCAAGAACATGTTTACCGTAGAGACACAAAAAGGTGGATAGAGAGACATACTTAAGCCGATTTAGAATTTGATGCTGGTCAAGAATTTTGTATACTTTGGGGCCTCTTAACCTTCCTTGGCGTTGCGGACGTCTCGATCAAATAAATATATCCCTTATCTTTCAATACGATATATCAAGCGATCTAACACACTAATTTGCGGCTCCCTTGTAGAAGGCCATTACCAATTTGATTTACTTTCATTCTTATTCTTCTGTTTACCAGTCTTTTGAATTATTTAATTTTTTATTTTGCAATTAACATGGATGTAATTTCAATGATATTTTAATTAACTCGAATTTTTTTTCTCACCTTCCAAATGACCAAAATATGTTTGCACTAATTTATCCATTTTCGGGAAATATATCCATTCTCTGTGTACATCTTCAAACAAAGAATAATAAGAGTTTTGCAAGCGTTCTGTAAATGACATACGATCGGTGTAAGGCATAAAACCATGCGGTACAAAAGACCAAGGCTGTATAAGACCCATCATTTGACTCATATGATTTTCATAACCTAGAGTACTGGTTGTGATCACAGGTATGTCATATATTCGAGATAATGCCAAAAATGGTTCTTGATAGAACTGCTCAGCCAAGAGTAAATCATAAACACCACGAGTATGTCTTGCATTAATAATCTCTTGAACTTTTAATTGTTTTAAAGCATGCTCAGTTGTTTTTAAACCAATAATTTCAAGCATTTTTAAAAAATCATGCAAATCCATTTTGGTTAATTCGAATATGTTATCCGCTTTGAAATAAGGAACAACTATAAAATGTATAAATAAATAACAAAATTATTATTATAAACAACGGAAAAAGAACAAATACGAAAAGTGTACTCCTTCGTGACCGAATCTTTTATACCCGTCACCGTTATCCTAAAAAATATAAAAAAAGTAAAAGAACTGAATTTTCATACTCTATAGTGTAGAGCGGGCTCGGCTGATTTTTTATATTTTCAAAAAAAAATAAAAGTTTTTGTCGAATAAACGTACGGGCATTGTAGGCGTGTCCTTGGAAAAGGTTGAGTCGCTCTCAAATTGTTTTGTAAATTTGCATTTTCGCTAACGGAAGAATGTTTACTACAGATACTACACAGTTGCTCAGACAGACGGATGGACAAACAAACAGACGGACATGTTTACGTGCAGTCCACATTTGTAACCAGCCAAGAGTTATATTGTATACTTTTGAATTTTGCTTCTGTGTATTTTGGAGGGTAGACGTTGTAAATTTTTTTCATTTTTGTACAGGTATTACAGCATCGCCTATGGAATATACGTTCAACTTTTCTTAGATTTTATAAATTTGTATAGTTTGTGAGTAATAAGAAAAAATTTAATTTTCCTTCGACCAATTTAGCCCATTTTCAATACCAACCTACGTGCAAGAGCTTCTAATATTTCTGCCAAATTACACACTACGCAGGCGGAGAGACATACAGGTGGACATGCGGACATGCGGACATGCGGACATGCTTAAATCGATTTAGAATTTTACGCTGATCAAAAATATATAGGCTTTGTGGAGGGTTTTACAAAGCATATTTACCTCTCATCAATCGGTGATGGGTCTAAAAACAAAAAACCAAAGAAATTAATATTCACCGTCATTCCAGTAATCGTAGACCGGATCAATAAATATTTCCGTATAATTGCTACCCAAATTTTGATGTCGCAGCGTAAGTGCGGTTATCATTGTGATCTGATGTCCTTTACGTATAAGCTCCTTAATTAATGCCACATGCATCATGTAATGACTTTTACCCGGAAACGTGTAAACTGCCAAAATGTTCGCATTCTCAACCACGGGCAGCCAAGCGGAGAACATAATTCCCATACTCATCATAAATGCAAATTTCGAATGCTTTGTAAATAGTTAAACACAAGCAGGTGAAAATTTGATAAACATTTAATGCAATTGTACGAAAATATGTTCCACTACCACTATCAAACATTTTGCGTGCATGGCAAATATCCGCACGCTATGCATTATTATATTATCATTAAGCATAAGTACAGGGCATTAACTATACTTACTCGACTTCATATACGTAATATGACTTAGTTTGATGAGACTTTTTGCTTTTTTTTACTTATATTAGATTAGTTGTTACATTCGCTATTTATTAACAGCAGAGTTTTTCATCATAATTTCCCATGATTTTTAATCTAACTACAAAATGTGTAGATAGCGATAAGCAGAAAGCAAACAAAATTCCATTCAAGTAATTTCAGGTATAGGATATTGTCTGCTGTCAATAATTCTCGGAACTGATACATAGATATGTCGTCTCCAATAAATAATTAATATCTTTTCCTTTTTGCTTTATTACATGAGCAATCACTCAAGCGATGTCTCTTACTCGCGCGTTGACGGTTGGAGACAAGTGAGGAAAGAGATGGAAGCGGTCGCAACTTAGTGGATGCATGCAAATTAGTACATGTGCTTTTACCGACCGGGTGCTTACCCTAACTATATAGAACCAACGCATTGACTTGGTGGTCGCGATTCTTGCTTACTCGGCTACTCATGCAGTTTTGCGAAGGTGTCAACTCTCAAAAGATGCCAAAATTTCATACCGTCTTGATTATTTTCACATTCGTGAGGTATAGGTGTTTCGATACAAAAGGGAAAATATCCTTCCTTTTCGATAGAAATAAATTCCGTATTGAGCATTCATTTACTATAACGGGAAAGTGATGTTTCCTACCGATTCTACAGATATCAAAAGGCAAGATATTCACTAGTTATTTCTTTTATCAAAATTTGTGTAACGGAAATTGCTTTTCAAATGGTGCTGGTTTTATTCATAAGAGAACAAACGGAATGTGTCAGATGTCGATAGTTGCAAGGGCAAATTGAATTGAAGCTTGTATTGTTGCTTACACCATCCCAACCTGCCTACTATCAGCCTGTAATTCCGCACAGGATGTTCCGGGGGAAGGTATTTGAAGTATATTATGCTAATTTGGAAACCGAACGATGCTCTGAGGACTTTGACTAATCGTTCTATAAAAAAGTCACCAAAACCCTAGAGAAATGTTGGACTGATTGAATCATTCTTGATGATCAGGATGGTGATGAACAAAAACAAATTTGGAAAAAAAAATTATTATATACTTAGTTCTAATAATTATTGACCCATGTATTCTTTTCGTTTTCTTGCACCAACGCATACACGACATTTTCTTAATTCTTGCTTTTTACTGATTGCGGATTGAACTTGTTCAAATTCTATGATATTTAGCATTATTTCACCACTTTAGTTACTATTAACGAAGGTTGTCCAAACTTTCTTTTGATCAAAAGATACAAAAAGAATAGAGAGAGAGAGAGGTTTGACGTAAGACAGTTCGAAGAGCATGGGCAGTAATGCGAAAGCGCTGACACGTGGAAAGTTGAATAACAACCTCATAAGTAGGCGGATTGAGAAGGAAATAAGTGCCTTGTGGGAGAGAGGTAAGACGAAAAAAATGGATAGACAGTTGATAAAAGAAAGAAGTTTAAGCAAAAGATAATCTGCGGATGCCTAAATAATGAAAGACGATGCTCCTTTACTGGCATAGTCGTACCTATCTGAACCTGGTAGAATCTTTCCCGCCATAAATATTCAACTTACAGATAAAAATTTCCTAACACAACACATGATACTCTCATGTCAAGTTCTCACTACTCTAGAGAGATAAATCTCGTAGCAATATAACTACGGAAGCCAGAATGAAATCTTTCGCTCAATACCCTCGTCTTCTCTACGACTCTTCCCGTCACTGAGATGCGAACAAATCGTCGACCGTACAGCTAGATAGGGTGATGCATTGATACCCGCGTGTGCAGAAAGCTACACGAGCAGGTGTGCGAGCATATAAGAAGACAAGTAAACTAAACGGCGTAAGGAAGGTTGAGTTCCTTGAAATTTTCAAAAAAACAACTGACTTTTCTTTTGTTTAAATGTCATCATTTTGTTATTTTGTTGCCAAATGTTTTTTTTTTTGTTTGATTAAAAATTATTAAATGCACTTCTTTTGAATGTGTATTAAGAGAGATTGAGCACTTTTTATGTCTTGAAAAAAAATGCGTAAACGTTTTATTCGTACCATTCTATTAGAAGCAAGAAAAACCTTTTATTCAAAAAAACGCAATCAAACGCGGAATACTTGCAATTTATTTAACGACTGTCACGTTACTTTCATGCAACTGATATGAAAATAAAAATAAAACAGATGGACACTCTTTACGTTCATAGAATTTGCAAACTGAAGTATATACTATAAGTAAAATTATTGTACAAGTCAACTGTAAAGACAAAAATTATTCACTTTAATTGCAATGTTTACGTAAATATTAATAAACTACTTATTATATTATATATTATGCACAAAATATGGAAAATAATATGAGCAATGTTTTTATCTCACTCTATATAAAATTCATAGAAAGAATTCAATAAAAACGATGTAGATAGAAGTCGTGCAGAATTACAGGGTATTTATAATTTGACTTCGCTTCGCTAACCATGTGAGACTTCTTTAATCTCCAAAATAACAATAAGTGAAACCAATATAAAAGAGAGCTTGACTTTCTTTACAAAAACAAGTAAAAATAGTACAATGGGACGTGGCCCGGTCATTAATTATCACACATCATTTTGCTTTGGCTTGGTCAAAACATGTCGGCTTATTAAATTTCATCAAAATACCTCGAACCCGACTTGTCTTCATACAGAATTGAATCAATTCTATACATAATTGGAACAATAAACGACATAGGGGAGACCATGCATATAATTTGGGAATAGGTAGAGATGGTTAGGATGTCGGTATCCGGTTTCGTATCGGAGATCCAAGAACAAGATGGGCTATGACTACCTATAAAAAAATAAATTAAAGCATGAGAGGAGTCATGGACACCGCTCACTAAGTCACATGTGCTTAAGACAACCTTTTGAGGGATGTTGGTATAAGAGCAACATGATGTTGTGAATGCCTATGAAAAGTGGGCACGAGCGAGACTCAGTCCTGACTGCTGTGCGCGACCCTCTTTGGAATACCGTAACTAATAGGGAGCCGACTCACGCTTAAACTCCCCGTTGTGTCATCGGACATCGTGATGCTAAGGCACAACGGCAGATACTCATGCTGAGTCACTCTCTGTGTGAAGGGCGACAAAAGCATCACTTTTATTTATAATATATATGTGTTATACACATTTGTTGCAGTTAATGTGAATATTTCATGTTTTTACAGTTTACTTATAGTGTGCACCAATTAATAAGTTCTGTGAATGTCAAGAGCATTTATCATCTCAAATCAATAAATACAAAAAAGTTTTTCTTGTCCTGCTCTCCGTGTTTTTGTAGAATGTAAACCGAGCTGAATTAGCAACCAATCACGCTATTCCTTACTAAGTAAAACCAAATTTTGCTCGTTACTGTAAACACATCCACGTTCCCATGAATCTTTTCATCGCGTTATCAATTGCAAAATGTAACGATGATCAAGTAAATATACATGAGTTTGATATGTTATTCATTCACTTATTATTATTCGTTACTACAATTCGAAACTACAATTTTTTTTGTATAATTTTGTTTGTAATATATTGAATGTGCATTTAACTGTTTTCATCTATATGCGTCTTTGTTGGACGTTTAAAAAACAAGTATTTGTTTTCTAGTAAGTTTTTTCTAAGAAAACGGGACATTTTATTTTATTTCGATCTAATTTAAAGCACTAAAGAAAGGTTTTGTGATGTATGTATCAATACTTGACGGCTGAACAGGGAGGTACCCCATATGTCATGCCATATACAGTGCAAATCAGTTTCTTTTTAACGCTAGCTAATGCCATTTCTTGAGGGCCATTTATGTACGGGCTTCGAACCAGATATGTGCCATTCATTGCACAAATCGGTGAACTCCATAAAATAAAACGAGTAATGGGACTGTATAGTGTATATTAACCCCTATGCCATTTAAAATTTGGTGAGTTAACTGTTGACATACAACCATCATTGTGATAACATGTGACAATTAGAAACTCGGGCGATTTCAGACTGTGGATTTAAGAATGTACATATATACCGGGATGGACGCTAAACTTTTCATGAATATTTCCCAATTTTGCAGTATATACAAAACAAGTAAGAAAGTCATACTCGACAGAGACCGAATCTCGCATACCCATCACTATGTTTTTCCCATTTTACTCTTCAAGTTCTTTTATTTGGTATCCGTATCACTAGTATTATTAAGAAAAAAGTAATCGAGGTATCTACGGTATTCATTTTAGAATGAACCCATTCTTAAGCAGATAATATATCTTCAGTTAAGAAATGTACAAAATCGTTGTAAACATTCAGTCTTGTTTGCCTTATGATAAATAAGCATAAAACCTCCAAAAAATGAAAAAAACCAAATTTAATCACTTGTAACTTTGTGTAGGCAAGGCGGATGTTTTCCATTTTTGTACGTAAGGAGTAGAGTGCCTTATAAAGTAAGTGTGGAAAATTTCAGCCTTCTAACTTTTATATTTTCTGAGGAACGTGCAAAAATCCAACAATATTTATTAAAAAAAAAACGTTCACTTTACGCTCCACTGCGCGCGAAATTTCTGAAATTTTCTACACACATTATAGAAAAAAACGAAATGAGTATATTTTCATCTTTAAGTGGTGGGTATAAAAATAAAAACTTATAAAAATTATTAAATTAAAATTTAAGCTTTTAAGTGGATCTCCTTCAATGGATTTCCAGCGAAATAAACAAAAACAAGATAACGTTACGACGAAGATTGAGATTAGGAAAGTTGTGGTCTTTCCTCGTCTTGTACAGTAAAATGTTTTTAATATCGGCATAAGGCAATGGTATTATAACTAAGAGAGTTGTCTTCCGTACTGTACTCCCTACTGCATCTTTAATATGGTTTTTCTAAAAAAAAATTATGTTATAAACATTTATTTTTATATAATAAGTATAAGTAGATAAACGTAGATATTATTATCTACCTTAAGGGAACATTTCAGAGAGTGCTGACTAATAAACAGAAAGAAAATAAAATTTTGCAGTCTGTACATAAATATTACTCCACTAGCTGCATCTAACTCTCTTCCAACATTATGCCAGCTGACCTTTCAGTCTTCAGCCATACGGTTTCAGTCTTTGGCTTTTCGCACATGAAAATAAAAATAGATCTTTTCTACTTTTACCACAGTTGCAAAGAAAAATCTAAGTTCGTTCATCATTATTCGAAAAGTTGGTTTTAAGTGGTAGCTTCTCCTCTTTGACGTTATTGTCTCTATTTATTAAATACGGTGAGGGGAGCAAATTGTGTCACTTGCACTCTTTCCAAAGGAGGCACAAGCTGCAGCGATCTGCAAAATAAATCAACGGCCAATACTCTTTCGTAGCGCAAAGCAGAAGGGAAGAACACCCAGTTGCCGCTGATCTGTGGTCCCAAACACCACTATTCGAGGCCAAAATAATTAAAATCCTAAAATGAAATTATTTTTTGAGCAAAATTTAAATTTTTAGTACATTTTTGATGGCTTAATCGAAAACTAGTTAATTAAATTTAAATGCAGTTTCAATGCATTTACCAAAAATTGCTGAATTTTGTAGCCTGTAAAAATTTTTTTTTCAATTTATCCGCCAAAAACCACAATTCGAAATAAACATATTCAAAACCTACACACTTTAAACTAATTTCGGTTTTCGATCTTATGCTTAATAATCTTAAATAAAATTGCAATGCGTAGGAGAACTTACCGAATAAAATAAATTCCAAAAATTTAAAAGGCTTCTGAAAAAAGTGATTTTATTTCTTATAGTATTTAAGTATTATACATTTCGCATTACAAAGCATCGTTTTTCTTCTCCGTATTAAATTTTTTTTTGGAAGAGCTTTCATATCTTCTTTTAAGACCATTAAGCCTGTACAAGGAAGGTTTTAAAAGCTCACTAGGCAGACAAAACTGTACGCAATAATTTCCGTAAAGTTGAGAATCGGTGTAATGAGGCCTTCGTCGCGATTGTGTATACGTACAACCGTATGGATCGGTTTTGTTCATCAAAAGTTCTTTAACAGGGCTTCCCAGCTTTCTCAGCGTTTCAATTTTGCCCTGGAATTGTCCGCTTTTCGCACAGCACATTTTCGCGACTCATCATTTTTTCCGCACTGGCCGTCTTTGGAGAAACTTACCCGTAATAATCTTTCGAGTCATTTCATAATTTTCCCACTTTCAAGTTGAAAGTGCGCAAATACCAAATCCTTCTATCTTTCCCCCTATTTAAAATTCTTTTTTACCATCATTGTGCTCACACGCATAGGAGACATTGCCTGAGCGACTTGTCAAACATAAATAAAAAAAAATTGAATGAAATTCTCAAGGACACTTTCATATACCTAACTTACCTTACCACCGCTGCTAGCTGCAATTTGTGAAGAGGACATATCTTCATACCTTACTCAACGTACCATTGCTGGTACTTGCAATCTGTTAAATCTTATTACCGTAGCAATTGCCAAGTTTTTACAGTCTGCCAGGGATTAAATCCGAATGAGGAAATAAAATTCGCAGATTCATGTGCTGATAGCTTTATAAAATAATAAAAAAATTATTCATACATGTATGTAAATGAAATCTTTACCATAAGCCCTGTAGTGTAGTCACAGCATAGGTTTATTTGTATGTTTGGCTACTCTTTTGTCAAACGCGATTGTTGACGATTTATTTTCGAACTGTTAAGATAAGTGTGCGCAAATTTTTGCTTTTTTTTTGTGTATAACTATACGATTAATCAAAGTGTTTAAAAATGTAAAAACATTTTTTATGAAATTTTCCGTTAAAGACATTTTTTGTTTTGGTGTTTGGAACTCTACAGTAGATAGATTCTGCTCTAGAACTTTACGTATCAAACGGTAAACTAGACAGTGTATGAAAAATAGCTCATACATCTCAATTTAAAGTCATACCTATGAACTTAGCCATCAGTATATCAACTTAATGAACTTGTGAACCCGGTCTTGATATGTCAGTTTAATGGGAAAGTATGCAAAGCAGTTGCTTTTGTTTGTCACTGAAATTTAACAAAAAAAACGAAGGTATCTTCTTTAGGACAGGTAAACCACACAACTGGTTCATCAGAAGTAATAAATTATCCAGGCGGATTACTACCTTAGCAAGAGGAGAGTTTTATATAAACTGTTTTCAATAAAAAACATTATCCCTTTAGTTTTTTGTTTCTTAATAAATTTATATTATTATTATTATTATTTTTATTGTATTAAACATTAAACGTATAACTGCAAAACGTTAATCTTTCTTTTAATAAATTTTTTTCAAATTGTTCAAAATTCTTCAATTTGTTTTTTCATAAATTAAAACAAAACGAAAAATAAAAACAGTGAACATTCACATTTGTTTACATACTTTCCTATTATTTCACATAATTTCTTTCTTTCGGTTGCCATTTTAAAACATAAAAAAGAAACCTAATAAATTTTGCACATTTTTTAGGATAAAAATAATTTCTATTTGCTTACAATTCTGAGTTGATTTTTTTTACTTTTTTTGTTTTTAATTTTAATTAAAATAAAAATACGAAAAAAAAGCTTTCTTACAAAAACTTTGATATGTAACGTTTTTGTATTAAACGTCCGGCCTTCTTTTTATAAACACAAAACCGTATTAACTGCTAATCGGCAAAATTGCTAGTTTGCGGTGGTACTCTTGGATAGAGCTGAAAATAGTTTTAAAGAAAGGAAAAAAAATGTAGTAAAGGAATTTTTGCTTTCAACTTAAAGCGAAAATCTTTCAATATTCATTTTCGCTTAATAACTTGGTGCGCTTTTTCTTCTTCTAATAATATATATTGTAATATGGACTATATAGACTGCTATTATTACTATTATAATATATATTATATGCAGTATGTGAGTTAATGTTGTAGCTTATGGTATATATAAGCACGGTCATAAGAACATGGCCAATAATTGGTTATCTAAATAAATTGCTTCTTTCTAGTTAAAGAATGTTATGTATGGCTTTCCATGAGTGGAGAGTTATGATTTCTTCTTGACATTGCGGTCATGTTTCAAAAATTAGAATCTTTCCCTTTTTTATTAGTGGCATTTGGTGAAGTTTGCAATTTTATCATGGAAAGATATGTGCCAAAGCAATTCTTTGAATCGTACTCTTCTAACTTTAATGAAACTTTAATGAATTTTTTTTCAAGATGAGACTCATTTCCTGAGTTTCATTTTCATCTGAGACCATTTTCCGATATTCGCAGATACAGCTCACGTTCGCCTTAATCTATCTTAATCTATTATCTTTATATCCTGTGAGAGTAATCGTCGCTATTTACTGCTTCAGAAATGGACCTCACAGTCAGTGGAGAGCATTCACTGGCCCGATGTTAACGAATTTTTTTGTGACCAGAGTTAAAAGATTTTGCATTAAACGTCGTTTGGCTTCATCAAGACGAAGTTAGGCTGCGACAACTTTCTCCATATCATCTTCTCTTTACTAACTTCTTTTTGATTGTCAACGAGTTAGCAGACATAAGCGACGTCTCCTAAATGACAGATCACTTTAAAAAAAAAAACAACAACAGGGCAAACACTTGATTTACATCGCCTGGCAAGCAAATGTTTCGAGAAATTGCGATTTCAAATGGACTGTAAGGATAGGTATTTATAACTGTGAAGTATATCTTGTAGTGTTATTTGAAATCGTTCGCTTATAGCAGTAAACCAGACTTTATGCACGCATTAAAAAGTAGTATCGGTAAAATTGGGGCAGATTTAGGGAACAAAATGCTCGAAAACTGGAGTCATTGAATGGTTATTTCAATCGTTTCACTTGTACTCAGAACTTATTTACAACATTTTGGGAAATTAATGCATGCAATATTTATTGGAAAGAATCATTACCACTTTTGATGTTTTTTACTAATTGTGAGAGAACCTGTTTCTTTAAGGTACTGATGTTTAAGTTTAACGTTGGAACCCCCAACGTTTTGCATATAATATAGTACTGTGTTCTGAAATGATCAAGGAATGTTTGTGTAAAGTCTCAGCTTCCTATCTTCATTTTTGTGAGATTAGCGATTTCACAAAGGTTATGGATCAAAATGACACATAACGATATAAATATATATATCTCATCGGTATCTCGAAAGCTAGACTAATGTATCTACTTGGATAGGGAAAAACTGATTATGAGCATTTTTGAAAGTCTTCAAATAAATATGGGTCTATTCGGAAAGCCATTTGGTTTTTTTTTTTTTAAATCACAGACCATTTTTTAATTAAATATAAATAAATAAATAATAATAAATAGATTATAGAATTCGATAATAAAAGTCATCGAAAAATATTGGAAATATTTACACACTTCATAATCGTATTTTTAAGTTCAACATTTCAAGAAAGCTTTATTAACCCACGCGGTAGTTTTAGAGAAATCGAGACGATCTTCTTTTTTCTATCCATAAAGTTTAGGTTCAATTGTTGCAATTGTAGCTTAATGGAGAGACTAGATTTTGCTATTATACGTAATTAATAAGGTCGAGATCTGCCTGATTATAGAAAGCATAAAAATTGAATTGTAATTCAGAAATCTTTCCATTAACAACTTTTTTTATAGAGGTACGCAGACATTTTTCATTTCAACAGAGTATTAAGACTATTTGTTCAACTTACTCCCAGCAAATTTCTTGGTACATAGCCTTCCTCATCGTTGGAATTTTTGGCCCACCACCATTCACTTTCGGCATCATCGCCCTTACGTAATATAGTCAAACGGTCGTTGACACTAAAAGTTAGTTCGTCGTTGTTTTGAGCTTCGTACGAAAAGACTGCAAACACTTCTCCATTGTGAAGTATGCCGAGTTTTTCTTGAATGTCTGAAACGAACGGATTAGGAAATCATTTCTAACATTTTTTTGTTTTAATTGTCAACCTACTATACAAATACTCGGAACAGCCATCGAAACCTTCTTCGTCTTCTTCACATTTTTCGGCTGGGGTTTCATGATCGGAGAGAGTAGCAGCAAATAAACATGCTCCATTCTCTACCAAAAATTTCACCATAGCCAAATTATTACAGCTAGCAGCACAATGCAATGGCGTCCAGCCATCGGAATCTTGTGCGTTGACATCACAACCAAATTCCACTAGGAACCTAGTCGCGGAGATAAAAGAGAATAACACGTTAACTTTAGCAAGAAATGGGAGTTTTTTCGTTGGAACCTACTTGACAATATCAAAGTGACCGGCACAAATCGCATTGTGTAAAGCTGTTATGCCCTCATCATTAGCTGCACTAGGATTGGCCACTTGCATAGCAGTTTTTTTTACTAGCTCTAGTTCACCTTCTAAACTAGCATCTAATAGTAAAGCCAGAGGATCGAAACTAACACGACGCGTAAGCTTTGGTTTACTACTACTCGCCATATTGTTGCTACTTGAACCAGTTCGCAAGCGTCTTTTTAAACTATCCGGAGACGTTTTGCTTTCTTCGTTGATATTTGTAGTACTATTCTCAAGACGATCAGTTTCATCCGCGCTAATTTGCGATTGAGGCGATAAGGTATTGGGCGAATGTAGCGTTTGTTTCTGTTGCTGCCCATTATTGCTGTTATCATTATTTGCCGACTCGATACCAGTCTCCGAGTTATTATTTCCACGCTTATCATTGTACAGAAAATTGGATGTTGAACCTGTTTCTGCTTTACGTCCCACTTGTTGAATGTTCGCCGGTTTGGTGAAAATTGTAGTGGATTTTAAACGTGGTTGTTCCGATAATGGTTGCTTCCGTATAGTTAAAGGTTTGGCTTTAATCGGTAAGTTATCATTAATATTTTGCGACTGCAGGGCAGTAGCAGTATTCTCTCCTGTTGGTGTACCGGAAGAGAGATTCGATTTTTTACTGCTTATTTCATGAGATACTTCATGGTTAGCCATTTTGGTAGGCTTTGGGGGTAAGGCGGGCCTCTCTGAGTTACTACTTATGAGCAGGGGAAGACTGGGTGCGGACGCAGACGAGGCTACTGATGTCACGTTAGATGAAACCACATTAGGAGCTACGCGATTAACTTTCGGACTATACGGTATCATTTTCGGTATAGAACTTGTCACCGAAGTAGGCGCCACACTACTTATAGGTTTACGCGGTGGTACAGCTAAGCTACCAGAAGTTAATGGTTTTGGCTTACTTAATACTACTGAATTACTTTCAGGTCCAGCATTAGATGTAACTGTCGCTGTAGTCGCATTCGAAACGGCGATCGCTATCGACTTATTAGCTGCACCTAATGGCATGCTATGGACCGTTAGCTGTTGGGTATTCTTTTCCGATAAAGTTTCGCTGGTTACCGCCATTTCGGATTTTTTCTTTTCCAGATCAGATTTCTCTCGCGCCACAAAGTGTTGATGGGAATTCGGTAATATTTGACTGGAAAATGGTGAGCTGCTATTCAATTTGTTCACAAGAGTCGAGGGTGGAGAAGAAACCGATGCTGACGTATTACTACTTAATATGCTTTTCGGTATTTTACTGCCTTGTTGCGCCGAACTATTCGAGCTTTGTACATCTGCAGTATTTACAGTGATTGCATTATCTTTGTTAAGATCCCTTTTTTTAGGGCCAACTTCGGCGTATATATGATGAGAGGTATCAGTTTCTACAGACGTTTGCGTAGCAGGCGCTGTTGTAACTCCACTTGTTGATAATGAGGTTGACGCAATTGGCAACTGTTGCGCCTGCGTTTCCATGGTTTTCGTGCCTATCGAAGCCGTTAGCATTTTTTTTGCTAATTTTGATTCATCGCTCTCTGCAGCAAAGAAATTCGCGGTATTGGTTGAGTTAGCATTCAAGTGATTGCTTGTTGCCGTTGGATTTGCTTGGCTGTGCGTTAAATTCAATTTGACATGGGCATGATCCTGGATAAGTTGATTTTGCTGATTGGTGTTGGCCGTCGCAGCAGCGTGCTTTAAAATGTTACCTAAATACGATGCTGTGGGCGTTATGTTAGATTTCTGCGGTGTGTGAATGTATGGCTCGACAGCTGCTACATTGCCACGCGAGATATTACGATTCGTTTCACGGTTGATGATATTCGAGAATTTATTGCTTGTGTTTTTACTGCTATTTGCATATGATTGACCGGCATGGGCAGCCTGCTGTTTTTGTAGTAATTGCTGTTTAAGGGCAGCTACCCCTGTTTTGGGTGCTAGGGTGGTTGGATAGCTTACTTCCGTACTGTAAACGTTGTGATGTGCTTGAGCAGTTGCTACAGGTGACGGCTGATGATGCTGTTGATGTGCTGGCTGATGTAATTGCTGCGTTGTTTGCTGCATTAGCTGTGGACTTATATTTATTTTGGCATTTGGCGGTTGATGTAATTGTTGTTGCTGTTGTTGATGCTGTTGGTGTTGGGCGTTTGTACTTTGTACATTAGCTGCTTTCTTCCGTTGTAAACGTGCCTGCAATTCATAAATTCTTTGATCCACTGATCTCAGTTCAGCTTGACGTTGCTGTAAAGCTTCACGCTGTAAATGTAATCGAGCATCTTGTTGAAGTGACAACTGATTGCGATACTAAAAGAATAACAATAGACAATCAAAAATTCTATTTAGAGTTGATTTAAAATTATGAAGATAAAGGAACATGTTCAAAAAGGCATATAATAAATCAAATAAACTACTAAAGAGGAAGATATGTTAGTTTTAAAAACTTAAATAATTTTATGATGCTTTTCATATCAATTAAAAAAAAAAAGAAAATTTAATCGCCATGAAAAAATAAAGGTTAAATTGATAAAAAAAGTAAACGAAGTAAGAAAACTGTACGAGGTCTCGATCGAATCTTTTATACCCATCACCGTGATCTTAAAAAAAGGAAAGAATTTAATTTTCATTCTCTATAATATTAGAAGGCCAAGGATAATTTTTCTGTTTTCAGAATGGAAAAATCCAAATTTATATGGCATACGTGTTGAACTTTATGAGCAAAAAGCATGGAAAGCAGAGGTGTGCTCAGTTTTTGTTGCATACGTGTGTGGGAGCTGTAGGCTTGTCCTATAGCCCATTTCGAGCATTTTGAATTCTTTTGCGAACCATAAAATGTTTGCCACAAGTACTGCATAGGTGGACAGATGGACAGATGAACAGACGCACATGCTTAATTCGATTCAGAAGTTGATTATGATCCAGAATATATACATTGTGCGGTCTCCGAAGCTACCTTCTGGGTGTCTACACTTAATCCGGAATAAAGGAGGCTAAGAGAGAAGAAGGGTCTTAAAGAAAAATTTTTTATTTTGTAGAAGCATAATGTTTTAAATAAAGATCAATTGTACGACCTTGCACTAACAGCTTATACTTCTAAAACCAGCTATTTGCTATGCTATACTTTCCATACCAAAAATATTAGTAGAATCTTGTTTATACAGCGCGGAGAAGATGCCATTAATAGCATTTTGGGGGATTGCAATTCAAATATCGCTTTCATTCGCCGAATATACTAACATAGGGAGTTAAATTAATGGTCTTTGCTATAGGGCCCGCAAGGTTTTAATTTGTCACCGTTTATGCGGTAAAGCGTTGGCAACTCAAAAAAGGAAACGGTTGAGACTTAGTGGAAATCGAGCATTATACGAGAGAGCTATGCGTTTTTATTGTTTCAAAAATAACAAAAGTTTGGTCATACTTCTTCGAAAATGAGGCCGGTCAAGCAATGACTGTTACTGGTGCTCGACATCTAAATTGAATGATATTGATGTGAACGCCATGTGGTTTCAACAAGGCGATCTCCCATGCAGTTATTGCATGGGGCACTTTTTTGGTCGCCTGCTGTCACGTTTCGTCGATCAGAATTTCGATAAACGAGCCAGCAATGTCGAGAAGGCCTGATGTGCACGAAACCTTATCCTATACACGTTACGAGTCAATAAAAAAATTGCAATTGAAAAAATAAATTCTGTTTTCTATTTAATTCGAATCTTGCGTACATTTCGGGACACCATATATAAGCGCGAATACTGGATTAAAAGATATAATCGAGGGTAAGTAGTTAAGCAAAATGCTGTAAAAAAGAAGCTATTAGTTACCATTAGTTCTCTTCGTAATTTTTCTAATTCACGTGAAGCTTGAGGCGGCAACGGTTGCCCTGTACTGCTGCCACCTGCTATCAAATTGATAGGACATCTTCGATCTCTTCGTAGTTCTTCAAGTTGTCGGGTAAGGGCTTCAACTTTTGCGACTGCCAGGCTAAGTTCTTTCTCCTTTTCACTAAATAAAGCTCTGATGGAATCCAAGTCGTTACCTGTAACAAACATTAAAAAAAATGTAAGTAAGAAAAAGAAATCCGCTTTTTTTGGCTTAATGTTCTGTTTATATGATTATTAAATTAGATTTGTGATTTTTCTCTTATAATGTATGACAGTCGGATTAACAGATTACTTAATACTTAATACGATTTTTATGCATTACAGTTGAATGAAAACGTTTTTGATCTATACATATTATAGCTCTTATGTAAAAGTGTACAATGTAACGTTACGTTGCTTTATGAACTTAATTCGTTGCTTCTTTTTTGCAAGTCGAAAAAGATTTTCTCATTGAAATAAACGTGAAGTCATCAATTAATCCATATTCGTCTGCACACTCATAGATATAAAATTCAATGAATGTAGTGCACGAAAGGATAACTTGGCTGGTAATTGTCGTCACAAGTAGAAATGCAAGCATTTTACTAGTCTTCTTTTTTCTACTCACCATCGTAGGATGAGTTGTACAGTCAACTGTCTTGTAACGCAATAACACGATTTCCACACGGACACAAATATTCTAACAATTCAAGTGACTGGAGAACTTTGTCTATGGTTGCACTTACTCGATGCGTTCAATTTTTGATGTTGACATTAATAGGTTATTCCCTATCCCAATTATCGAGGAATTTGCTTGAAAGTAAACAACCGATCAAGCTTAACTTTCCGTCAATACATTGCTTACTTCTGAGATTCTACATCAGAGATTCTACAAATCAATTAATTTGTATTAATTTTGATCTTGTCACAAAGCGGAATAATTTTATCTGATTTGTCTTAATTCCATTGTTTTCTTAACGCGTTTACCACAGAACAGCTTCAGCGAATGCCTATAAGGCTCATACATTCCTGAGTAGCACCAAATTGTAAATCGATCTAAGCTTTTCCGATGAATGTGCGTGGTAAGTATTTTTCTGATAGAATTCAAATTTGGCGAAAACATTGAAACTTCTTGCGGGTGCTCCGATAAAAAGAGAGAAGAAACCGGTCAAAAAATACACGTACAATGAGACATAAACTTGAAAACGTCCCTATCTTCAAAAGTACGTCTAACTGCGTTTTTGTACATTACGTGTAAACGCTTATACAACAAAGGTGGCCCTACCATATCTGCACAACAATGGAAAAAAATCGGTCAGATCCATCTAATATTATGTACCAAAATTTATTCTTTCACTTCGCTTTGTTTCGTTTCCTTCATTCTTTGCAGCGCATCCGTCTGTTCCGCTTGTATTTATCCTACAAGTTACAATTTCCGAGATATATTGATGATATTTTGTAACCCAAGGACGAACGCTATTGAAAATATTCGAGTCGGACTACGGACACGTTATTGTGAAAGGTCGTTATATGAATAAATTTATTAAGCGAACAGGTGCAGAGTATTTAATGATGGGCTGTGGCTTACTATAGTGTTTTGACTTGTTTAATATCGGAAGTCTAACATAATTTTCTTCGTTTCTTTTTCGCGATTAATTTGCTTGCTGATTGATATGGGAAAACTGAACGCTTTCACCATCATTACAGTAAAAGTTCTACGGAAAACCAGAATTTTATTCCGTCTACCATAAAATTATTTAAGTTTCAATTCTTGCTGTGTTTCCTATCTCAGAACGAATGGACAAGTATACATAATTAATTGAATGAGAATATATCGAGGAAGGCCCCCACTATTTTTATGTGTTGCTAAAGAATGCCAAGGTTACATATAAAGTATCCTTCGCTTTACTTTAATATGAACGTTGCAAATAGCTATTACGTATTACATCTATATATATATGAAAAATTGACATGGAAATGCGAAAGAAAGTTCAATTGGTTTATTGAATGGTTACCCCAATTAACTTTATGTTGTATGCGTTGTACGCGTACATTGTGTACCCGACAACAAAATTTACTAAAACTCAATTAAATTTTCATTATTCAAAATAAATCTTTTTTACGGCTGAATATCATAAAGTGCCTACAATTATAAGAAATCTATTTAATGCGTAATATGCTTGGATGTATTCATAGGCGTATATTTATAGGCGTCCAATATATATAAAAAGTTTCCTGTCACAGATTGCCAATAATCGTCACGTTAATTGCATTTTACACCGATTGAAATATTGTCACATTGAGAAAACTTAATTGCCTTCAATTCCAAATAGTTATACTGTAAAAAAGCGGAACTTTATTCAATCAATTAAGGAATTTTAATGTGAACTTTTGCCACAAGTTTTTTCATCACCTGTGCTCAATAATTGACTGTTGTTTTCAGTAGTTTCAAAAAACACTTAATTAAATCACATTTTCATGGATTGTGACTTGCCTTATTCTACATTAATTTTTTTATGCTATTTTCAATGAGCAAACAAACCAATAAAATCGTTATAGTTGGACAAGGCCAACCATTAAATATCTTACACCACTTTACTTGATATAATGCTTCGTTTATTTTCGTCAAAAAATAGCAAAATCTAGATGTACATATGAAGTTAACTTTTTTATCGGAGAAATTATTAGTCCTTACGATCTTCATTATTTTTTTAATATGGACATATTACCTAGGGGATCTCTACCCTAATCGTCTAACACGTCACGTCTGGTAGAAAGAAGAAAAGAAGTAGAAAGATATTATGAGTTGTACGCCCTAACGATAAGTGTTATGCCTTGAACGGCTAAACATTCACTATAGCAATGACCTAAAACAACTCTATCGTACTTGCGACTTGAACCCGTTGGAAACTGACTGACTCGCGGTTCTTAGTTGCTCCGCGGATAAAATATAAAACATTAAGAATTTGCGCATAAAGACTAACTTTTTATGATAATTTTCATATGGGCACAGGTGTAACAAATAGACTAATATGGCGGCAGTGTAGTATAGTAAATTTACAAATTTAAATTTAAAACAACTTTCATAAAATGCCATATAAAAGCTTAATTTCTGTAAAGATGTTCATATCGTACAGAGGAGTCAGAAGAGATGATCGTACTATATTCTAATTTTCTGCATTCGTTTATTATGCTAAAAGTAGTCTTTAGTTTTCAACGAGTTTTCTGGCAAAATGTTAATATTTTTTTCCATATAATAACTTTTTTAAAAAAAAGCATCTTACATTACGAATGATCGTAGAAATGATTCGAGCCAATCCATTTAAAACAATGTGCATCCTTAGGTTTAAGATATTTACATATTAAATTACATCAAAGGTTATTCAATAAAAGGTGAATAGTCTATCTCAAGAGTCCTTATCACAATTGCTAGGAGTGAGTATAGGAAGCATTTTTCATTGATAATCATTTTGAACTGTCGGAATATTAAATACTCTTAAGATCTACTTGTTCGGCTTTTTAATAATTTAAGTGAAGATAAGCGAAGATAGTACGTATCCAGGTTTTAGATTTTAGTTTATCATACGACTGTTTAGCTAAGTATTCTTTCTTTTGCATTGACATAAAGAACTTTTGATTTAACTAAAGAATACTAGCAGAGACTGTTGTACTAATTAGTTTCGAATGGGTGAAACTATGATACTTGCCTTTTAGCAAGGAAAATATAATAAATAGTTATTTTCATAAGCGTATTCTTATCAAAGTTGGTTTTGGGAGAAAAATATTTCATTTCTTTTTTTTAATTCTCCATTCATTTCGTTCATTTCATTTCAGTTCCTAAGCACGAATAGCGTCGCTTACTTAAATCGTAGTAATCGATGTTTTATAACCAGGCAGGGATGATGGAAGGCAAAGATCAAGCATCTCTTTAAACAAATCGATAAGGTTTTTTGTCTTTCCCCGCTTATACGATTATGAGTTATATGTGTCAAAAACTATAAATGTAAGATCGTTGACGATGTCAACATTTGTGAGGGACATGTGTAGAAGCATAAAAAAAATGGAAAAACAAATTGGAAAATCGAATTTACGTAGCCCATGAAATTTGAAAAGTCACCTTTTCTTTGAACGTACCCCGTGTTTGGTGAATTGTGATTTAATCACTCATTTTTTCTGAAATAATTTAAAAACAAAAACTATTGGAACTATTGAACTATTGAAAGTTTATCTTGCAAACAACACGATGTAACAGTTCTTCTTTTATATATATCTTTATATCTGTCCTGCAATAGGACATGAAGACTCGGCTTCGTTTCCCGTGATTTATGTCTATGCGCATATATAAGATTTTACTTGCTCGAGCATAAGAACTTTAAAGCCTAAAGAAACCTAACCGAAAAGTACTTGTGACTATTTTCGTCACAAGCAGGACTGTCGTGTGCGTATTACAAGCTCTGTATATTCGTAGGATTCTTAAAAGATTTGAGAGATACTTTTTCCTATTAACTACAAATTATAACAAGTATTCAAATTTATTAGAAATATTACGGTACACCATAAATACAAATTTTGATACAAATGGTTCCCCAAACTTCCCTGCAAGAAGAAGAAAAAGTCATGCTAAGTTGCATCGTTTAAGGACTGCCCTCATAGTAAATGTGATTTAACAATAGAAGTGAAACCTTATGTCAAATAATAACGTAGAAAAGGTATACATGCTTAACTCTATCACTTTCCGAAAAGGATACATTAAAGTTGAAAATGTAATACTTGTTAATCGCAAAAATGCACATACGCTTGGTTGGTATTCCATTACAATTATACCGATATAGATCGATTTTAAATTGAAAAAAATAGTAGCGTTACAAATGTGTACATACGTATACACATGTATGAGTGTATGTTAAGGATTAATTTGCGAACATATACGGTTATCTATCGTAAAAGATACATCAGCAGTAACATGGGCGCTACTAGCGCAGAATAGAATATGATAAGATGTGAGAGAAAGGGAGAAGGAGAGATGGATAGAGAGAGTTTGTATAAAACATATTGGTAAGCACAAAGAGCAACGCTACCGAAACGTCATAAATCGCGTGGCAGTCATAAAGAAACCTCAGATTGCTTTTGTGACGTTTATGATTTCTTAATATTCTGACGTTTAATCACAAATTTTGGCTATTTAGGGAAATCGCAAAGGCATAACAATCTGTTGAGCAGATCGTAAAGAATTTTTTTTGTTATTTAATAGTGTAATATGCAGCAGTTTAAAAAGAAAATTTATAAAAGAAGAATAACAAATTTTTTTGAAATAAGCCTTAATTTAAGGGAAATAAAAGATGGAAAACAAATTTTCCGTAAGGCATTTTTATGTCACTATACATAAATATATACATATATGCTTGAAGCGCTCAATACTTGATGTGTTAAACATTTGAAATTCCCCTAACCTTTAATAATGTGTAGTGAAATAAAAGTATGAAGTAAGAATGAAGTAAATCTATTTTCCACTTCTCTCTACATTATAAAGGTTTAATTCTTTATGTGGCTCAAGGCTTCTTTTCAGTTAGCTTTTCGCATTCCATTTCTTCTATTTGCAGGTTTTCCAATGATACTCCTCGACTTACGGAGACCTATACTTGACGGGCTATGAATATCTCAAGTTCCAGGTATATCACGTCACCATCTACAATACTACATTGTATCTTATGGACAGTGGAAACTCAAGTACGATTCTGTGTCCACGAATGGTACAGAGAAAAAAACTCGAGTTTCCATACTAGCGGGAAAATAAATTAAATTAAGCCTTATAAAAACTTTATAAACTAACACTAATCTCTTACAGTAGAGTACAGGGTAAAAGACTGTTAAGACATTTAAGAAAAAAAAATCTTTGAGGCGACATGAAACTCGAAAAATATTTTTGTCCCTTTGTGGTCAGGTAATACAAATAGATTTTTCTAAAAAAGTATGTTTTCCTATGTCAATTAGACTATAATGTCTTTTTTCACTACTGTACTCCTTGGCTTAGGGATTAGAACCATGTAAGCGTGATAATTACTTGATCATACCGAGTCAATCATCACATTTTCAAGAGCTGCGATTTATGTCTACAGATTAATTGCAAATGTAATATGTAACGGAATTCGCTTTTGATACCATACATTACATGTGGTGCATGGTATATCAAGTGTGTGGAGAGGTATGCAATAGAAGAACTTGAGATAGATCTACCTGTTATTACACCGTTCGATTCGTAAGCGTTCTCTTCTAAACTTATTTATGTGTTTGTCTGTCCCTCTAATGTCTGAATTAAGAACTGCCGCCCTATCGACTATATTCGCATCATCTGGCCAACAAGACAGCGTTATAATATATGTTTCAAATGAGAAAAGACTCCTTTAGCTCAAAAGATTTGAATCAAAATATGAAGTTATAGCGCAAATTGAAAGTTATTTTGAGAGTTTTGACAAATCTTTGTCGTGGATACGTTAGCCTGATTGTACCACTTTTAAAGGAGACTATACCGCGAAATAAAGTGAGTTTTGCGAAAAGAAAGATACAAAATGTTTTCTCTACTTGGTCCCGCGACTTTTTAATTGATGTTTTACAAAAAAAGCGAACTTTCAAAGTCTCTGCTTAAATGCCAAATTAACCATTCCTTAATAATAACATTCCAAACATTCCAAATAATAACATCTTACACATGAGTGGAGTGACAGCCCACATATGCAAACAGGTATGTTGATATGTGTATATGTGTCTATACGTTTCTTCTTCTATGTGCTTGTGTTCACATTCTATCCTTTTATTAGGCACATGTCAAGAAGACTTTTCATGAGTGTGACACTTTTGAATTATTCTTATGAACGAAATTTTTAGTTGAATTGCAAAACAAAGACATTAACAAATGGAATTCATTAAAATATAAATGATTGTAATATATTTATAGAAGCGTTTGTGTTTTTTTTTTTATTAATGGTCACATAAATTCTTTTAATGTTTTAACTTAACTAGCTTTGCAAGCACAAACGTGCAGAAGTTTAAATCTAGTTATAAAATGCATACGAAATGATTACTTTACGCACTAGAGAAGGTGACAAATATACCCGTTTAGTTATTCCATCTGCAACCCTTCGAAGTATAAGCCAAAGATCCCGTGGTCAGAGATCAGCTCAGGATTTGCTTGGCTTAAATTATTCGATAAATAATTGAATTATTTTTGTATGTCCTTCAGTTTATAAAACAAAAAGTTCAAACTTTACATATTTTATACATTACGATCTTCCGTCTCACATATTGTCTTCTTGTATGTAATCAGGCTAATACTTCCATTTTTTACTCCTTTCACTAGCGACTGTAAATTGAATAGCTTTGTTGATGGCACATTGCCAATATTTTTGAATGGGCGTACAAGTGAGATGTTGCCTTAAGTGTAAATGTCAGTAACGCTATTAGATAGTGACAATGATAGTTTGCCTAAACGTAAGGCTATCAAATCTGCATGAACTTTCCTTGATCTTTGAAAATATTTCGAAAGCTGATGACGTCTAATTATATCTTGCGAGTATTCCAGTGTTTTTACTGTAAACTCTGTTAATTCGGTTCATTTCGATAATTTCTAAAGTAAGCATGAAATGTTATCAAAACATTCACCAATTAAGGGCTCTTGTAAATATTTGTCGCCTGATCTCTTGCTCTTTTTTTATTGACCCGTCTGTTCTTTTGGAAGTACAGATACCAGTGCCATTCACCGCATTTTGTCTGACTCAATGGGATTTACCCATGTGATGTTCGCACAATTGTAAAAATAAATTGCTGTTACTTATACTAAGATTTGCAATTATAAACACGACGCAAACAAATTTCTCTAAATAATTTGGATAAATAGTAAAAGATATTGAAGCGAATTTTGTTTGTTTATTTTGATTTCAATAAAAAACAATTTGGATGGGTTAAGCAAACTCAAGAAAGACGATTCTTATAATCGTATTATATATGCCTTTAATACAATGAACATAATTTATTTTAACTTAATTTAAAAAATTTAAATAAGAGTTGCACTCGGGCATTTAATGCGATATAGTTTATAATTATTTATAAGTACTAAATAATAAAAGTTTGTCTAGTAGATAGTAAAAAGTATAAATTAGTTCTAGTCCATAATACATACTTCATTAACACATGAGGTAAAATGTATTAACACAATATTATAATGCAATGATTGATATCGTGCGTACCGCGGATTCGCCTTACAACGAATTTCACTGTGCAGAGAAATGGTCGCAATCGCATAAGTTGAACAACGATTTTATATAATCAATACGATCGTCTTTTGAAAACCAAAAATTAAAAAAACCTTATTAAATTGTTTGCGGAAAGAAAAAAAGAATTGATAATTGGTGCTACATTGGGATAACCTAAGAGGAAGGAAATTCCTTGAGACTCTTGAGGGAAGTTAGAACCAAGTTTACTGAGCAAGAATGATGACGAATGATGATATACTTGAATAAGTTTCGTTAAAAAATCTGCTCCAAGGATCAATCTTCTGTATTCAAGCCTAACTAAATTGATAAAACATAACTGATATTGGTACGGAAATGAAGGCTTGCTAATATCTTCGCCCAAACTGAAGAAATTTTTTTTAAGATTGCTTTAATCATATGGCCGTAATAATGATAATTGATCCGGATGGGTACCCTAGGTTTTCTTTACTTATATCTACTCCGTCCTACACCACACAAGATACAAAGTTACACTAACCTGGTGAAGATGTATACAACGCCCGTATAGCGCTTTATTTTTAAAAAAGACGATGTAGGAAAAGCTTTAAGATGTTGTTGGATGGGAGGAGCCCGACCTAAAGCGGGGTGTGTTTAGTAAGCGAACGCTCATTTGCTTATGTCTAAAGTATAATAAAATGATGCAAGGTGTGTGAAGTAATAACACCAGTGAAGTTTATTATTCGGTCTAAGTATATTATAATATGGGTTATACACTCACGTAAGTATAAATTATTATATTTGCGTGTTCGTATGTAAATTAATGTAAAGTATATTGCACTTACTTAATGTAACGTTGTAAGTCTTTTGCAAATCCACTTGACCTCTTAAAGCACGCAAACGTCTTAATTTTGATTCTTGAGCTTCGACACGTTCACGCAACCGTCGCAAACGTTCACCCTCGGCATTAGCGACTGCATTGCGTACTTCTTGCTGTTTAAGAAAACGTAAACGTTGCTCCTTGGTGGCTAACAGTTGATGTTGTGAGTCGATTTGTTGTTGTTGACGCAATGCCATCGCCCTTAATTCGGCTGATGTCAGCCTGCCAGGCAACTGCAATATAAACATACAAGAAAGAGAAAATAGAAATTAATAAATTTTGTAAATTTAAAAAAAAAAGTTTAACTATAAATGGACTAAAAATAAATAAAATAATTTGAAGATTTAAATGTAATAAAAAAAATAAAAAAAAAAACTATTATTTTTATTATATTTAAAGATTAACTTGTAACATTTGAAGCATTTCATCGTTAAAACACTTACTGCCTTAGCTGAGCGTGAAAGACTTGATGTTACTTAAAGTCCTTATAAAAACGTTCTTATTTGATGGGCGGATGGTTGGTGGCTTCATGGAAGAAAAGACTTACATTTAATTTTGGTTCGGCTGTCACTACTGCCATGTGGTTATTGCAGGAACGTTGTTGTCTCGGTGCTGGCATTAGTGTCGGTGGCATTTTGGGTAGATTACCGGATACAGGACGGCACACACACGTCAGCATATTGTAAAAGTTGAAATCAATTCCTCTTACTCTAGCTTTAATCTACTCTTGTCACCTTTGAGAATTTCTTTACGGTTTCTTTTCTTTTTCTTTTTCTGTTTTTGTTGTTTTTACTGTTTTCTTTTTTTATCACATTCACAAGTGCCCAAACATATATGTGCTCGAGTGTTAGTGTCAGACAATCTAGTAGCAGTAATAACAATGAAACGTTGTTCTGCAGTGAGCAACACAAATTGCATAATTTTTTAAACATTTAAGTGCATTCTTATGTGATCGTTGATGTATCGTCATTTCCATCATCATTTGATTTCCGTTATGTACGAACCAGCAAAAAAAAAGGAAAATTATGCAAAGGATATGTGTGTGCTTGAAGAATGAAAGACATTCGCATACGTGTATGATAGGTTGTTTACCGTAACTGTTTCCTTTCGCTATTTACACATATCCAAAGAATATTTTGTCGTCTTATTTGATTTTTTCATTAATTTTTTTTTTGCTTCTTTTTCCTCAATTTTATGAATGCATGCACATAGAAATTGTGCAACGTGTCTGTCTAACTGTTATGGCTGCGGTTCCAGATATTTCGAACGTTTGATTTTTAATTAAAAGATTGCGAAGAACTTGTATAGTTTTTTCTTTATTTGCTTTTTTAACACATCAATTCATATATATGTGTGCAAAAATTTGCGTGGGTGGATATGCCTGATTGAATGGACAATTGAAGAGTGCTCGTGTAGGTGAGTTCATACTTTGAATAGATGTACGTGTAGTACGGTTACCTATGACAACATTGACAGCACAAAACAATTGTGCCTAACAACTAAGTTTGATGTCTTCTTTTTTCTTCTTCCTTTTTTGTCGTTTGCTGTCGTGTTTACACCTTGCCCATTTGCTCTCCATTGGAGACTGACAAGGATTGAGAAACAGTAACAAAAACAACAGCGTCAACAAATAATATAAAAATCGTTAAATTCAAAAAAATTTTCAAATCGACTTCGTTTTTTCTTTTTTTTTCTGTCTACGTTGCATATTTATATATGTACATATTTTTTTTTTTTTTTCATGAAATGACAAAATAAGCTGCGACAACCAACTTGGTGGAGGCATTTTCAATGTTAGTTAATTGCATTGCTAACAGCAATAGTTGCAACATCCATATATTGGAAATATGCAATAATCTTCTTTTTTTCTTTTTTTTTCCATAGAAACGAGTAAAATTAAATGAAATTTAATTTTTACGTGAAAATGAAGATATTTAGGTTTATTTGAAATGTATTATTTTGTGTGAACCCAACGCTTTTTTTAGACGGTAGGTGCTTTCCTTCTGTGCAAAACAAATTTGGTGATGTGTTTCGAAACTTTCAAAAATTCGTGTGAAATACCTTGCAAAAAAATAATGAAATCCATATTGCATAGATATAAAATAAAAACGATTCATTCTTATCACAAAAAACCAAGTAAGATTAGTGTCCAATGAAAATTCAGTCCACACTACTAATATAAAAATTAAATTTGAAATAAGGAATAAAAATCAATTTTCCAACTATTGATCATTGTTTGATTAGAAGTATGCACTTTTATTACGAACTGCCTAAAAAGTGCTATCATTAGTAGATACGTCCGATACGTTTAATATAATTGTAGAGTTTCATTGAAATGATAAATTTCGTGCTTTATTAACGGCCAAGTAACAGTTTAGCAAGTCACTAATACATGTGTGGGCATAAATCGACTGATCTCTCATCACAGTATTACGTCAATTATATTGTGTACGGAAATTCGTGCAAAAAAGATATATTTGCTCGCATTGCATTCATATTTAAAAAAAAAGGGAGAATCCAAAATCCTTAAGGGGATGGATCACTATAAGTTTTTCAAAAAATCTATTTTTTTTCTTCTATGTAACCTTCTAGAGTACCTAAAAAAATTTCTTTACTTGCAAAAAATATTTTCTTTGATTTCGGAGTTTTCCCACTTACTTTGTTACCTCGTTTCATGGTTTGACTTCTCTTCAGAAATTATTTATATCGACTTAAAAGACATTTCGAACACGAAATACGTTAACTGAGTCAGTACTGGAAAGGGCGTACGCGTTTGAACATGTCGACTGACGTACGATTTTGATGACAATTTGATTGTTATTCTAAATGTCATTAAAGTTTTTGAAATGAATATTGGTACTCAATCATGCAATTTTTGCATTGAAGTCGATGCTAACCGGATCAAGGAGGTTGAGCGGTGTTTGATAGGTGGGGCAAGCATAAAACCTTCACTGAAGTGAATACAGCCCACTAAGGTAGGCCACATTTTTGAAGATATGTCTTTGCTAAAAATGTGTTCGCTAACTTACATTTTATCGCGAAGTAAAATATAATAATTAATATTATTATAAATTAAAAAATATTAGCAAACAATCACATTCCTACTAACTCTCATGGCCGGTTATAACGCAAACACTGTAAGAATGTAATGTCCAAATTGAGTTATAACAATTTTCAGAAAGGTAACGCTGCCCCAAATTTTCGAAAAATGCTGCTAGCTATGGGAAAAACTTAAATGCATTATTAATTTCCTTTTTTTATCACTGCCAAAATCGCCAACTGGAATAAATTCGATAACATTTTGCATAACTAATTTAGTGTCGTACACGTGTGGTGGCAATTAATGGTGATGCTGCTGCGTCATATTCCAATTTTCGATTTTGATTCCAAGGGTTTGAGAGGGGTGTCCAGTCTTATTAGACGAAAATCGAGCCTTAAACTCTTAAAGATGTTGCGAACAGCTTAGCAGTTGATAAATCCACTGATTCTAGGCATTTGCATGCGATGGGAAAGATCCAAAACGATAGATAATTGGTACCATACGAAAGGACTGAAAATGCGATCAATAGAAGCAAAGTCATCCTCTTGCATGGCAACGCCCGGTCACACTTTGCAAGAGTTGTTAAGGATACACTGTTGCAGCTCGAATGAAAGAGCCGCACCTAGTCTGCTCAACAGACATTCCTTTAAGAAGAACGAAAATGGGCCAATGAGTGGATCGGTGCTAAACGGATCTCGTTCTTTCGAGTCGGTACCTCCGATATTGCCAGAAAGATGCAAGAAAATTATGGAGAATATTTTGGTTAATATATATTGTACCAACTTTTCTTAATAAATGCCTTTTTCAAGTGAAAACATAATCGAAATATGTGCAGGCATCTAATTTAATGAAATTGGTTCAAATCGTCCCAGTTTTTATCCTAACCATGGCAAAAATCAATTTGTAGTAGGTAATATTTTGTGGTTTTTTCCTTCCAATAGATAACTTTTGCAACGTTTAAAATCCGCCTGAGGGACCGAAGGCGAGGAATCTCGACTCGCAGCTAAATGGTCGTGGGTTCGAATCTCTAGTGCGGTATGGTTTTTAATAAAAGGCCGACAGCTTTTAGAGATGGTAGCGCTTTTAAGGGTTTAGTCTTAGAATTTATTTCCCTGGCGAAATTAATAATAATAATAATAATGATGCAACCTTCAACTTTATTAAGCTGTTCCATAGCGCGTTAGAAAGGCGGTTGCAATGATAATTAAGAGCAAAAAACATCGTGACGTTTATGAATTTAACTGAAGGTAGATTATCTTTTGTCTTCTTTTGAATATAAATTATTATATAAAAAAGGTTTTTTTTGAGATAAACGAACTAAACGAACTAAACCGAACTAAAAGCTGAAACATAAATTGCATTTTAATCGCTTTAGTATGAATATAAATGAAAGCTTGGTGCGCTTACTGTTTAAGAAATTTGATTTTTTCTCAACGCCCCAGGCTTTAGCGTATAGTCAGATAAAAGTAGCTTTCATCAAATTTATTTTCCCACCTTCACTTCATTAGACAAAAGTTTACACATTAACAACCATAGTTTGTCGCGTTCTACTATCTAAATCTTCTTATTAAATACCAACATCAAGTGGAATGTTACGAAAAAGATAATCCGTCACGTCATGATGGTTACCTTATTTGGCAAGGGGGCACAGCGGCACTTAGCTTGTCGCATTCTACTCTTCAAGCGTTTTCATCAAATAACCGAGGATTATTAGAAAAAAAATTCTCCACAACATTGTGGTGCACGCTACACTTAAAGTGCAATAGAGGCACTTAGCTTATTGCATTGCACACTCCAAGCCCTCTCATTTAACACAAACATCAAGGGGGATTGCAAAGAAAAAGGTAACTTGTGTACAGAAAATTTCACTACAACATATGGTATTGTTAACGGAATGAAAGCTGTCTGCAAAATTTCCGCATGATCAGAAATACCCAAGAATCTGAAATATCAATTGACAGTTTCACTCCGAAGATACCTTTTGGCGGTCGTCACTTTGCTTACGTAGTAAAATTTAGTACACCGTGTCGTATTGTCACCGTAAATGCAGTGAAGTGACCGAAATATCGATTGAACGTTTTCAAGAAAGCGGACTAAACAAAAGTCTGTAATGAACCAAAATTGCGAAGAAAAGTTATACTTAACTCGTCTAAAGCGATCAAGATTTGCCCGCTTGTGTATAAGTTTATGGCA